TAACATTCTGTGATTCTGTGATTCACTGTGGAACATAAAGTTAAGAGTGACAAAGTCATTAAAAATAATTGAATAAACTGGAGAAGAAAGCAAGTTAGAAACAAAACCCTTTTCACAGAATTGTGACAACCTTCTACTTCACTCTCTCTAGGAAAAAATAATGAAATGTAGAAAATAAGAAGCTATACCCTGTTACCAAGGTAAGTGTCTTGCAGGAATTCAGAAAGATCTTCTGGCTCAGCCTCAGACCTTCTGGATATCGTTAACCAGGTCAGTTCACGTCCCTGTCTAATCTTTACTACCTGTGAAAGAAGACTAATGGACCTTGTTCATAAAGTATTTTGAATCCTATAGATGAAAAAGCCATTACTTTGTAACTGGGTGTCAGTATTCAGGGCTTATAATAATTTGTGACAGGGCAGAAGCTGCACTGCAAGTAATGAATATATATTTGATTCTCCATTAGGATGCATTTATCCAATCAGGTGTCCATAAATAAGCACCTTGAGAAGTTAATGTTTTAATACAGTAAGAGTACTCCTCTTGCTACTCTCACAACACCATCCTGTACATAAGCCAATCTCCTTTTTGAAGATTTGCATAATACAGTTTGAAATGGGTTTATTTTGAATATTAATGCTGGTGTACATAAAAGTTACAGAGGCTGAGATGCTCCTGAGCATCATTTTGTTTTGTGGCAACCCACTCTAAGGCAGTTTTGCTTAATTAGAAAAAGTTTCTGTGATTGGACTACCCAGAAAGAATTAAGAAACTCTTTGGAAACCCGAACACCATTGAAAGTAACTTAAGGCATTTTATGGAAAAACATCTAACACACCAATCAAGATAATTAAGAAAGAAGATATTCACAAAACAGTAACTCACCTTCCCAGTGCATTAAATTTCAACACTAATCATAACGTTAAACAGGAACTTGCATTCCCAGTACCTTGGGTAGGAGGACTTCTTGTATAGCTGATCTGATCCCATGGATTGCATCAATTCAATAATGATTGAAAAGGGGTGTGTGGAGAGGGAGACTGCCACCCACAAACCCATTTTTTTTCCCCTCACTGGTATGCAAAGCTAGGTAGTGGCAAAGCCAAAACTGGTAACTGTACTTACCAAAGATGATCATGAATTTAAAAAAATAAAAAAAAAATTACCAAAAATGTTTCAAGCTGGTTGAACCCTTCTAATAAACATTACCATGAAAGAGGATCCAAAAAACCCACCATTTATTTAGGGAGAAAATGTAAGACCCCCATTAACAAGACCTGTCTGCACTGATTTCTTTGGTAAGATGGTGGTTATCACTCTTTTTAGAGTCAGAATCTTGCAGAGACAATTTTCAAATGAATTATTTATAAGGAGAAAAAAGTGAATGTTTTGTCTCTACTTTAAAAATTTTTAGAAAATTCACTGACCTATCTTCTCTTTTATCTATCATGCTGTGTTGCTGCAGGGTTGTGGCAATATCATGTGGACACATTCCAGTAGCTCGACTCATTCCTTTGATGCTGATTTGTTTTTCATGGTGGCAGTTAAGGTACTCTAATACGACACTTTTCCAGTAAGCCAAGTATGAGAGACGACCCAAATCAGACAATGGCTTTTCAGGGGATCCTGCTTGACCCTCTCTTCTAGAAAGTAAATAGCCTAGAAGAAAAAGAAACAGAACACCTTATTGAGATAACAAAGCTAAAGAATTTTAAATTCCCCTTTAGATAAAGTTGGCATGAATAGAAATGGTAGTATGACTGATTACATTATTGGTAACTCTTGCAATTAAAGAAATCCTATCCACAAAAGACTGGTTTTCATCATTATAGCCACATAGATTACATCCTTGTAAGATACTCAGATCTTTTGTTACGAGAATGAAACATTAAGCAGAACTCCTCTTTCTAATCAAAAGGCAAAGAAGAAAGAAAACTCCAACATGTTTCACAACAGGTCTCATCATACATGATCTCTTTTAGAACTAAACTGTCCTTTTGAGAAACTTTACACCTGAGTCACAACACTGAAACCAAGAATTTTCAGAAGAATCTCAAGAGGAAGTATCATGGGTAATATCAGTTAAGTCAGCTTTCTTCAAGAAGCCCCAGGTGACATAAGTTTTTGATTAAACAGTTAGTTGTTCTATTTCAGAGGTTACATATAATTCACCAAGTTGAATTACAAGGAGAATTACTTAAGAGAAATAATTAAAAAAAAAAAAAAAAAATCTGAATTCATGTTTAAGAACATTCACATAATTCTAGTTTTCAGTCTTCTACACAGTAACCTATCAGCTGTTACATAATAAACTACCTTCATTTTACATTCTATGAATATTCAAAGTCCTTTTTAACTCACTTCAACTTTAGGAAGCTTTTACAATTTTAAGTAAAACACACCTGCTTGGAGATAACAGAAGCCACCATTAAGTCCAATTCAGAATACAGAAAAATAATATCACAACAAAATGTATCCTTTCACAGTAATTCTTCCCTCCATGACACACACTCTTCACTATGCCTTTACAAACACTGCCAAAACACAGGCCTTAAACACCAGGCTATAAAATGCTTACTCATCATGCTTATGGAATTACTTTACCCAAAATAATTTGGAATCCACCAATATACATGATTATTTCACCTTCCAATACTCTCAAATACTTTAAAAAAAAAAAGTTAGAATCCCTCCTTTCATTTTTCAAAATTGCTTTAAAACATATCTGGTACAGCTGTGTCACATTTGCTAAACAAACCCTCCTGACTTCTTTACAAAGTATCCCCTAATTGAGTTAGCTGTGAATTAGAAACATGGTTAACATCCAGCTTTGAGTGAAGCAGGGGCTACTTCCTTATTCTGTATATGCTCCACATACAAACCGTACACACACCCACCTACTTTTTGTATATATATATATATAAAAATATATATACGCACACACACAAATATGAAACACATGCGCACATATATACACGCATATTTAACCTGGCCTAAAACATGGCCTTGCCTTTTTTGGGGGCAGTACAAACAGAATTTAGAAAATACGTATGCACTGATCATCATACTCTAACCTCAAGTTTCATAAAATTGTTTACAGAGAAAAGCAGACATCCTACTACATTCCAAGTGACCTGTAACAATACAGACACTTAAGGAAGTAGCGTACCGTCATATCTGTTAGCATGATTAACGACAAAATGCCGGCGCCTCAGAAGGAGCACTGTCCCACATCTGCCTGCTTCTAAGCAGCACATAGACGCCTGCATAACGCCTGCCTACACCTGCATGGTGCCACTGGAAACTCATCAAGTAAATTCATTCTGTTTAACAGAAGAAACATTACATGGAAATTTAAGAAAAAGATGTTTTGAAATTGCAGCATATTCATATTTTTTATAATTATTATTACTAGATGATACGTCTTAATACTATATGTAACTGCTGTTGATAGGAAAAATCAAACTTTACATTCAAAACCCCACTGCATCCTGAATAGCTCCAAGATGAAGAATTCTTGTTTTACTTGCAACTACACAAAAGGAAATCCACAGAGTATGACCTATTCCACATAATTTTACACAAAGCTTCACTTGTATCAAGAAGTAATTTTGGATCAGCTTGTTCAGAACATACAAAGACAAGTTTCTTATTAAGAAATCATTGCCTTATAAACAACATGCAAAACTGCAAAAGTACAAGTAGTGACAGGTCTCAATACAAGAAAAAAGAGGGAAATAAACCTGATTTTAAAACAAATCCATAAGGAGAACTTACAGTTTTTCCAAGTAACTTTACAGTTTAACCTACCAAATTCACACTCAAGAGAACTTGGGCACTAATAGCAAATGTTTGTAGACTGTTTGCAAGACCTAGATTTCACTCTTGTATTTCACTATAGTTTAAAGATTACTTTGACAAGAACTTCCTCCTCCACTTCCATTTTCCACATACATAAATGGCTGTACCTATTCTTTCTTGGTAAACATCTTAACAGACTTAAAAATAAACCACCATCAAGAGTCTGAAATCATTAGTTACGCAACCACAAGTAGCTTTAGAGTTTTACTAGTGTATCAAATCCCTATCTTGTGGATTTAATACTGAACTTATCAAACCCTTCCAATGGGTGAGGACTTTGAGACTACTTCCTACTGGTCACTTTCACATTTTTTTACTCTACATTAAAGCAGTGAAACTTCACCTCCATGGTAACAACATCTGTTGGTATTCGTCTCCTACCATTCTGCAATATAACCTATGCTTATCCAAGATACTCACATTCAAATACATAAATCAGAGGTAACAGTCTCAGTTACAGGTAGTGAGCACCGAATGGGAAGTTTCTCTTAACAGATTCTGTGATTTGAATGACATCTATTAAATTAAACTTACCAAAAAGGCGCCAAATAATTGATCTAAGTTGCAGGTAAATAAAAAAGACTGATCTTGGTAGCTCGTGTATCTATCCTGAAGCATCTGAAATGAGTACAATATGCCCCTGTTAAACAGATATCCCCAGTGTCATTGTGTCTTCCTAATCTTAATAATGGATAGCCTCAAAGTGGAAACCTGAAGGAACTTTCTTGAACTATAACCCCTGATATGAGACTATGAGCAACAGCAACATTCTGAGGACAAAATACAGCTCCTCCCCACCCATCCTCAAGAGTAAACAAGGCAGACTATCTGTTACACAAAAAAAAACCCCAAACCAAAAAAACCCACAAAATACAAGACACCTAATCTACAAGAACAAAGAGTTCTCTGTCTTATCTTCTGGGCATATGAGTGATAGTATAACAAAATTAAAACAGCCAAAATGCTGTAAATTGTTTACATTTATTGCCTTATCTCCAGTCTTCATAGCAAAGCACCATGCCACAATTTACAGCCCTTGACACTTGTCATGCAAACCTCCCCAGAACCACTTATTCTAGATTTAAAACAATTAGAAGAAATTCAATTTGAGAAAGTTAATGTTAACGTAGGATACATATATTTTATGCCATCAACACAAATTTAGAAGATAATCAGGCGTTAAAACATACAGTTACAGAAATTAACTTGAGCAGTATCTTCTAATTTCTATCTACAACATTCCTAGTACATAACTCCCCATGTGAAAACATCAACTTTAATACATCTGTGTCAGTCTCCAGAAACTTCCAGTTAACTAACTACTGATTTTGTTATGCTTGGTTCTGTACAGTGTGAGATCAGAGGTCCAGCTTGATAGATGCTACCCTATTCTGGCAGTGGCCAACAGAAAATCCAAGGGACCTACTAAAATAGGCAACCAGCTAGTGAAACTCACATGCAAACAGTAGTCTGCCTTTGTCAAAAAAAAAAGGAACCTGCCAGATGCCTGTCATCGCCACACTTTGGGTCATTTTTTAAGAACTTGGTGAGGTTTGTTAAGTCGTTGTCTTCTGCAGCAGCACAGCTTCCTCTGTGTTCAGTAGTACTAGTCTTTGTTATGTGCACTAATAGGCTTGATGCTGTTGGGAGGTGAACTGACTTGTATCACCCTAGCCCGCTCCTGAAAATATTCTGAAAGTTTGGATCACATCAGCTTCCTTTCAGTCCTATGACATGAAAGCAGTTTTTGGCGTATTTCAAGTTACAAACTGCCATAAGCATCTATTTCATTACTAAGTCACTTTTATCTCCAAATCCCCAAGACACATCCTTCTTTTTCTGCCATACACACTTTCAGACTTCACTACCTTGGCTTTCTAATATTAAGCATAAATCACTCCACAATTTTAAATAAGGCAGATACGATTTAGCTTGAGACAGCTGAATTGAATTTTATTATCTATTGAAGAAATACAGACTTGTCCCTTTGCTTTTAACATGGTAGCAAAGCCAGGCCAGCCTTCAAAGGTGTAAGAAGACAAAAGGCAGATTATACAGAGGCCCGGTGGCTCAGGATGAAGCAGCAAAGATATTACATAATTGAACAGGTATACTGAGAAAGATAAGTAAACGAACTAAAATTTACAGAGAGGAAGTTTAATGAAGTTTGAAGATACTCTTTAAGGACTCTCCTTAATCCATGTGCTCTCTATACACACTTTATATTCTACAGCAATGAACAAATTTATCATTTTATTCCTGATAAATGGTCAAAGAAAATATATCTAGCTAAAAAAAGTTCAGCTTCTTTGAGCACCTCTAAGACTGACCACAATCATTATAAAGCTATTAGGTTTTCAAATACACTAAGTATTTAAACTTGATTCAAGTAAACACAAAAGAGCATGGCTACACTGTGGCTCAGTTACGCATTATTTTTGTCAAACTGTTGCATGCGTATTGCACAGAATTGAACGAATACTTCATTAGTGGTTTCCTATTCACCTGACAAGTACGAGAATTTAGCCAATATGAATGTTTTTAACAAGTATTTTTATATGTAACTATATTTACTGTGTTTACTATTTCTATTTTTAAAAAACTTTTATATTAAATACGAAGATGACTTTGTTTATCTTTAGAGTAAGAAACAGTCGCTTAGTTAGCATCCACACTCTGGAAAAAAAAAAGAAATGTAGCAGAGTAGGTTCTAAGAAGATAAAACAGATGGCTACATTAGCCTTGTAAAGTAAGCATGTCTTCTTTTTATGAAAGTACCACAACATCTCCTGCAATTT